CTCTGTCGTCCATTCAAATGGTCCCTTCTTTCTTAGTACTTTGAAGAAAGGCAGGCATTTTTCAGTCGACCTCGAAATAAACCTGTTCAATGCTGCAATTCTTCCATTGAGGCATTGAAGCTGTTTCAAAGTTTTGGGTGCTTCCATCTCGAGCACAGCCTTTATCTTCTCTGGGTTGGCTTCGATCCCACGGTTGTTTACCATAAAACCAAGGAACTTCCCAAAGGAGACTCCAAAGGCACATTTGGCTGGATTGAGCTTCATTTGATACTTTCGCAGAACTCCAAAGGCTTCGGTCAGATCGGAAAGATGCGACTTTGACTGCTTGCTCTTGACAAGCATGTCGTCCACATATACTTCCATGTTTCGACTGATCTGGTTGGCAAACATTTTGTTCACCATCATTTGGTAGGTTGTGCCTGCATTTTTTAGGCCAAAGGGCATCACCTTGTAGCAGTACAGACCTTGGTCTGTTATGAACGCGGTATGATCTTGGTCTGGCACATGCATTTTGATTTGGTTGTATCCAGAGTAGGCATCCATGAAGGTGAGTAGATCGTGCCAGGCTGTTGCATCTACGAGTTGGTCGATCCTCGGCAGGGGGAAGCAGTCTTTTGGGCATGCCTTATTTAAATTTGTGAAGTCCACGCACATTCTCCACTTCCCGTTGGATTTTTTAACTAACACAACATTAGAGAGCCACTCGGGATACAGAATTTCTCGTATATATTCAGCTTTTAAAAGTTTGTTAACTTCCTCAACAATTACATCACTCCTCTCCTTATTTACAGGTCTTCTTTTTTGCTTTACAGGTCGGAATGATGGGTCTATGTTGAGGCGATGCACCTGATCTTTGGGTCGATGCCTGGCATGTCCTCGTGAGACCATGCGAAGAAGTTCGAGTTGGACCTGAGGAAGTTGATCAGTTCCTCCTTGTCAGTGACCTCGTAAGTCTCGAACTGGGCTAAGTAAGGGAACAAGCTCGAGCTCCTCTACTAGTGGGGAGAACTGCCTTTTGCCTTCCCTAGGTGGGTCGTCTTGATTGGCTTGCTCTTCCAGGACACATACTGACGACCCTTTAAGCGTGGATGCATAACATTCCCTTGAAGTCTTTTGCTCACCTCGGACCGTGCCCACTCCATTAGGGGTTGAGTACTTCAGGACTTGATGCAGCGTGGAGGGGACGGCTCGAAATGAGTGGATGATGGGTCTCCCAAAGATGGCATTGTAAGCCAATCTGCCGTCGATCACCACAAACTCGGCCATCTGCGTTACTTGGGTAGCATCTTGTCCCATCGTGACCGGCAAGTCAATACACCCTTCTGGGGAGACCGATTCTCCAGAGAATCCAACCAAGGGTGTCGGACTCTTTTTCAACTGTGACCTGGTCCATCCCAAGGCTAGATATGTCGGAAGGGACAAGATGTTAGCAGATGCGCCTCCATCTACCAGTACTCTTCGGACCAGGACGTCATCGATGAGAGGAGCGATCACAAGCGCGTCATTATGGGGCAAATGGACCCCCTCCAGATCGGCATCGTTTAAGGCAACGGCGGAGGTCGGCTTTTCTCCCTGATGATGAACACCTCGCGTCTGGCTTCGCGGGCTAGCTCCTTTCTTTTATTCCCAGACTGGCCCCCACCTGGGCCTCCGAAAATGGTATTATGACCGCAGGTCGGTCATCTCGGCGAGGTGGCGTCCTCGAACGTTTCCTCTCTTCTTCTTTTTCTTTCTTTTCTGCCGAGCTGGTCCTCGGTTTACCTACAAATTTTTTGAAGTAGCCATCTTCAATAAGGTCTTCAATTTGGCGCTTCAATTCCCAGCAATTTGACGTATTATGGCCGTGATCGCGAAGAAAACGACAATATTTATCTTTATTGCGCTTTTCTAGGTCTCCTTGGAGCTTCTCAGGTCGCTTAAGGAGCTTTTCCATCCCACTTTCCTCGATGTTTGCAAGTATCTCAGAGATGGGGATGGTAGTTGGAGTATAACGCTCGTAAGGTCGGCTTCGATTATGGTCGATCTCTAACCTACGATACTCGGTTCGGCTGCCAGAAGAGGACGATCCCTTGTCCCTAGATTTAGAATCAACCTTCCTCTTCTCTTGATTTAGCTTCTTTTGGTCGATCTGCTTCTCAAGTCGGCCAGTCTTGGTTCAGAGGAGTTCTTGTCCATCGATGACTTTCTTCGCCTTTTGCAGGACTTCGGCGAAGGTTGCTGGAGCCTCCTCTCCGAGCTTCATGGTGAGGGTCTCATCGGCCAGGCCGGTGAGGAAGTAGCACATGGCCGAATCATCGGAGCAGTGCGTGACCTTCAGCTGCTCCTCCTGRAACCTTATGACATACTCTCTTAGCGTCTCACCTTCCTTCTGTCTGATGGTGGCGAGGTGAGTCGCTGTCTTTCTATCGTAATGCCGAGAAGAGAACTGACTAATGAATTCTTTTCTCAACTGAGAGTAGGTCGAGATTGACCTAGCCGGCAGTCTTCGGTACCACAGGCGCGCGCTGCCGGAGAGCGCTGTAACGCCCCGCGTTCTCTGACTCGTTTATTTTAAGAGATAAATAGTGTCTTTGGATTTTTCCCTAAGTTGATAACTTTAATTCTTGGATTTTCTAACTTTGAAATTCTAATTTTTGGCTAAATTAGAATTAAGTTTAATTTCTTTGGATTAAGATAATTTAAGTTCTCGACCTGTGTAGGAGATTTTTAGTTAAATTCTAAATTCACGAGTTTTAGGATTTTCCTCCATAAATTCTACTTTTCTTTGAATTATTATTCTTGGGTTTTAAGAGTTTAAGTTAACTATTTTATTTCGGGTTGTTGTGGGGTTTATTTTATTTCTAAAGCATAATTATTGGGCTTTTGTTTTGGACCATTGTAGTTTTAGTTAGGCCTCATTAAGATTTGGGAATTGGGCTATTGGTTTTAAAACAAAATAAAAAAAAAACCCTAAATCTATTTTGTTTTTTTT